GAAGTGTAAGAGTCCTGTATTCCGTCATCACTTCACACTATTTTGCCAAACAGACTATTCTGCTTCCAAATAATACTGCGTTCTCTCTTCAAAATATTATTCCTCTTTCGACTTCATGACTTCGTTTTCCTCTTATTTGACCCTTATTACTTCTAGCGATTGCTTATATTACTTTACATGACTGACTTTGATATTCGTCTCGTCATTGTTCCAAGATTTTCTCTTGTTCTTCCCTCCTGTAAACAATTACACTTACTGAATTAGAGGCCACGTAACGCCTATTACGGACTCCCTTTAAGCTATCATTAAATCTCGCGTCACATTCTGATTATTAGCAATGATTATAAGTAGTGAATTTGCGTTTATCGGGCCACTGATATTGCATATGTTTAAATGGAGGAAAACAGTGTATCTATAATTTGATTTCCCTTTAAAATGTGGTATTGTAATAGCGGAAGGCAAGACACGGAAGTCAAGGCATATTTTCATGTGATTAAACCGCTATTTAAATATATAGTTTTATAAATCCATTGTGGGTTAAATTTATTTTGATAAAGTTTAACAGCCAATTTACACCGTCTTCTATTTTCCTCTTCATCTGGTTCCACCAATGCCCATAATCTCTCCTCTCCTCCTCCCCCAAGCGATCTCCTCCATGTCACCCTCGGATGACCCACTCATCGTTTCCCTTTAGGACTCCACTCCAGCAGTGGCCTGGCGCGATTTTACTACAATTCTGTTGTAAATCGCAATACAAATGTTTGTACGGTTATCTAACGATTATTGATACTCCTCATACATTGAGAAATATTTTTTTGACAATTGGTCAACAGTAGTGACTGATTTGACAATAAATCACACCAACTTTATACAAACTGACCATTTTTATCCTTAGGTCACAGAACTAAACGGAGTATTCTCCGAGATTTTATAGATCATGCAATTAATTTGAAATTAATATCGTTACAAGGTATTCACTTCCAAGGTATTTGATTTTGAAAAATACTCTCTCTGATTACCCTGTTGACACTCTACACCACTTTAGAAGATGATGGATGTTGACGGTTACGCAAGATACGCTGTATACTTTCAAAGTACTTAAACTACTTAGACTGGAGACAAATCAAAGCAATAAATGGATTGTCCAAAATACGATATATATTTTGGGGATCAAAAATGTACAGCTATGATAATTGATTAACTAGCTGAGGTTCGTGTAAGAACGACCAAACGTAATACGATAGCCTGCCAAGTGGCGTGGATGCTTGGCCGCTTACCTTCAGTTTAATAAATCGAATTAAACAGTGAAGATGAGCACCCAATGATGAATGATGAACACTGCAGGCCAATAATTTTTGGGAGTGATTTACCACTAAATTGTGTTAAATTAGCTAGTATTTATTTGTATTGGACAAATAATAAGACTATATTACTGTAAATATATTTACTTTCTACCTAGTAGAATAAGGGAATGTTTAAATGCCGATGACATCGAGTTTAGATTTTATAGTGTCACAAAAGGAGAGAAGTTGGAAAGTGAAATATAGTTGGGTCATAAACTGCTTGAGTAGAAAATTGACCATTTTCTTATTACTGTTGAAGTTGAGCACTATAGCAAAGTATCAAACAAATAATAAAAATTCCCCGTGTCCTTCATTTCCCCCATGGTTCTCTGAAAAAGGTTGAATTTCGACGAAAATCTGTTCAAAATTAACCACTATACCATACACTTGTCTAATTATTACGTTATTTGCTCAGACCAACACTGAACCTTTTAGACTATCGTACTAACAAACTAGGTTATTTATGGCTCATCTTCACAGTGTGCTTGAGATATTGTTTAAAAAATGTAATAATAAAAAGTCTTTGTTTTTACTAGTTGTTCACCGAAGCTAGAGATCATAGGCCATTGAACTGGGTCCCAGTGGCTGAATGGTATATGAGCCAGCTTACCTCGTAACCGGAAGGTCCTAGGTTCGATCTCTTGTAGTTGGTGCGTACTGCCGATGATTCCCAAACTGAGATGAAACAGCTGGTTTTCAATGGTTCTCTAACTGATATCAATCCATGATCATCTCGTAAAAGCAAAACTAACCCTTACAAACCAACTATAGAAAATAAAAGAGTCATTGATTATTTTGGTTTGTGAATTGTTTCATTTGTCCAGAAATCTGATTAATGAAGAGAAGCAAAGGAAGAAAAACTCGATGTGTGATTACGTGTGGAAATATCTAAAAACTTCACTTCTTAGTGGACTTTATGTCTTATAATTATATTTCCTCTTGTTGATGAGTTTCAATGTTCTCGGAGGAAAATCTTTCAGAAGCTCGTAGTCTTAGTGTAACAACAGAAGGCAAGACACGGAAGCCAAGGTAAACTTTCAAACGGCTACTTATATCTATACAGTTTTATATTCTTTAACCAATCACTGAGCGTGTGATTTTGGTTTACATTAAATGACATGAAATAGAATGCTCAAATATACGTAGTATTCTGTTGCCAATGTACTAATGAGCTTTGGAAATGGTATTCAGACGATAACACCAACAAATAGAATGATTCTTACTGTGAGAATAATATTCCGTTGGAACCGATTGTCGGTATCACACCACCTCTATAGTTGTCAACTTATTTCATTGCATGGATTGCATTAACGTTAATTATGAATGTTTTGTACTTCAATCAACCTTTTCATCTTGGAACCATATGAGGATAGAATGGCAGATTACACAATAAAATAACTGTACTGCATTTGCTATTTATTGCTGTTTTGTTAGTTAAACTGATTCTAGAGTAATAGCAAATTGAATAACAGTAGTCTTATTATAAAGCTGATCTTAAACATATAAGAATAAAACTTAGGCACTGTGGTAGAGTGTAACTCCAATATGGATAAAATCACAGAGTGTTATACAATAATATTTACTGATGACCACGTTTCGAGCACATACTATTACTGCTCATAATCATATCAAGACACGACTCGCACAACTTTCTTGCTTCATTTATATGCATGAGTAAAGATTGATTAGACACTTGAATAAAATCAATGTAAGACAAAGTACATTCGGAAATAATATTAGTGTTATCAATAAAATACAATAAGATGGGAAATAAAATGTTTTCATAGTAAAAATAGGCAACTTGTTAGAATGTTATAATGTGAATTAAAATAACTTTTGAGATTATTTATTATCCTCTGATTTGACTGGTAATAACATCTTCTATATCTCTGGTATTTGCGTTGAGTCACTTCTGTTGCATGTGTTGGGTGTAGACTCGATGAACCAGGATTCAGTAATCAATCAATCTCTCCACCTACATAAATTACTTTTTAGAAGTTTGACTCTCTCCCACCCTATTGTGTGGTTGTGTGTTGATGTATGCAGTAATATTGATGGTTTTTTTTCTAAATTACTCATCTTCGTGGGTGGAGTCATTCATTCTAACCATAGTTAAATTCCTTTGTTCTGACAATCTGACTACCCCTGACCTACTAGTTTGACCTATGTAGTTGACCTCACAGTCATTGCAGGGTATTTTGTAAATTATATTATTTTGTCAAATTGGGTCAGCTGGGTACTTTAGCCTACAGAGCTTGTCTCTGAGTGAGTTTGTAGGTTTGAATGCCAATCTATGGTAAAACTGTAGATGCCTTATATTCTTTCTTATTTATGTTATCATTATTAGTTTCACCATTATTTTTATTTTTGCCTTTTCTATTTAACACCAACGCCTCTTCTATCTGTTTCATATCGTCGTTTAGCTTATTTGTTGTATTACTTAGTGCTATTGCTCGGTTTGTTAAACACTTAACTAAGCCTGCCTTTAAAGACAACGGATGAGATGAATTAAAGTCTAAATATCCATTAGAATGCGTTTGCTTTTTATAAACGCTGGTGTGCAGTTTACCTTCTCCTTGTTCGTTTTATTTTACAATCTAACATAGCTAATTCTCCTTGTTCATTTTCCGATTCAAATAATCTTAAACATATAATAATTCATCTATTGTGCTTATTCAGTTTTACCATTTGTTTTATAACTAGTTTCTGGAAACTAAAGAAATATAAATAATCCGGAATTACTTTTGCTTACATGTAAACAGAAAGTCATTTGCTTAGATGTACGGGTTATCTAAAGCCTTATGCAACTCGATTCAGTCCATATAATGTAGGTCTCAGGACGTGATTCAGTCATTAAGGTAAGCGATTCAATAGACTACTTTTTCAGAAGCTAAATTTTGGCTATTAAATGTTGTAACAAGTGGCGTAGTGATCATATTGAGTTCCTTGATACAGGAACTGTAGTTAAGATTTAAAACACTGTTGTTGCTGTACTTTAAAGAATCAAGAAGTAATTTGAATAGCGTAGCTACAGTGTCTATAGATTTTAGTCTGAGTTACTCAATTTCAGATATGTGTAGCAGTATCACTTTATTTGTCCTCACTGAAATATCTTATTTATGCATACTGGCAGTCTCTGTCGAATGACTCCAAACAAGTAAAGATTATAAGTATGGTTACAGGATTTCATCATGAGCTGACATTGGTTAGATAACCATTGAAAACCTACAGGGACTACTGGACAGCTGTTTCGTCCTGGTTTGGGACTCTTCATCAGTACGCGCTCAAGTCTTTTAAGAGAATAAACTCAAATTTTTTAATCTCTAACCAGACTCTCTCATTATGAGACACCAATACATATGTTGTTGAGATTTTTATTTTACTTTGACTAAGTTGATCTTGAAGTCAGAATTTCAACTGACAAATGATTCATCACGTTACTTTGCAGGATTTCCACAGAGTTCACTCATTTTAAGTTCTATGACAAAAGTTTCACTATATGTCATTCGACTCAAAGCCTTATCGACCTAAGTTCCAATCCACAGAACAACTTACCCCCGAATGTCTGCATTCTAAGCTAAAATGTTTCCTGTAATCAGGACAATGGCAGTTACTGTCAACTCATACATCATAGTATTTAGCTTCATAAAGATTAGATAAAGAACTAGAGGCTTTATTTATTAGATTGAATTAACTAACTTTTTTTCAAAATGAATTTAGACATTTTCATAGCATAAAATGGAAAGAAATGAAACAAAAAGAGAAATAATAAACAATTTCAAAAAACTGATGTGTACAAGTTATTTCAGGTAAAGAAAACTAAAAGTAGTGAAGAGAAATAGTACCGAGATATCACTCACTTCAAACATTCTGACAACCACACACACTACTTAATATAAAAGTCAGTAATATAAATAAATACTTTGACTTTTTTAACTATTAGAAGGGAAATGACTTCGAAAGCAGTGAACCAACCCTAATTGAAAAACACCTTTTTTCATCGGTGTGTATTCCAATGTAATCGGGATCATCATCGTTCAAGATCAACGCTTAATTTACGGAGAATAACACATCGAAATAAGTTAATCTCCAAACAGAAAAAAAATATATATTTCCGATCAAATTGTCCAATAATTGATGTTGTTTATTAGTTACTGAAATGATCCTATCTATACACAACATTCACAGATCAGGTTTCCTTCATTGGGTGGTAGCAAAAAGCAAAAAACATTCACGGTAGTGAGCATGTTTCAGTTTTTCAAGTAATCCCCAACTTATACATGTATGTGTGTATATAATGATGAAGGTTATTTTAGCGTCACCAATAAATCAAACACAATCATGGACATTGTTTTTTTTTTAGTGGAATGTCCTCTCCTTTGAGTAAATGCTTGATACAAGAATCGATGATGAAAGGTTTCAAAGCTAAATCGAAGTATTTCTTCTTTCTTGCTTTTTGTCAAAAACACACACATTTCAAGGAGAAGAAAAGTAGTAGTAGTAGTGGATAAGAAAAAGTAGGACAGACAGATTAAGATGGTTCAAACTTCTTCTTAAATTATTATTAAGAAATTAATATTTTTCCATAATAAATCTAACTAATGACAGGCTGGCTGACATTAAGAGAATATCCTTGCATTTCTATCTACCAGAAACAATCCACAGACTTAAATACAACGGCTATTTTTTTCTTAACATTGCCTATACTTTTCATTTTCTATCAAAATTCCTGCCATTTCGTAAAATAGAATTAATATGTATATATATGGATCATTGGAAAGAAATAACAACTACAACTCCTTACGGAATGACATAATTGAGACAGAGAAGCGTTGAGAAAAGTCTAAATAAACAGAAATAGGGCTAAATAAATCTCCAGTCAACAGACCGAAAATAAAAATAAAATAAATACCAAATGAATCACTTTCAGATTGAATTAAAAGAAGACGAAATAGAAGGTATTTTTCTTAAATGAGAATAAAAGAAATTCAAATAGACACACATATCAATATTGTTAAGATTAGAACAAGACAGAGAAGAGGGGGAAGCATATATTTAGTAATATGATGTGAACATAGGGGAAATATTTTTTTAAAAATTATAATTATTATTATTAAGATATCATAGCAAAGGGTAAATGGATTGAAGATGGAGGGAGGATTACATTACTTTTGATATTTAATTCTCCCTCTTCAACTAAACAGTTTTTTTTTATGCATCATCTTGATTACCTCTCTTGATGAGAGTTACAAATTTATCATAGTCTAATTGGCCTTCTTTGATTGGTGCTTCCTTCCATGTTTGTCTTATCTGTGTTGTAAAAGAAAAAGAAACAAAATTCAGTTTTTATAGTTTACTGCTGTCTTATGCCTGCACAAACATCCTTAGACAGTTCTATACACTTTATAGTCATAATTTTTAAACACGCTTCAAAATCACTAATTCTATGAATGAATTGTTTACAAAGTAATCTCAAAGGTTGAATGAAACATACTGGGATAATTATCACACTTATATTGGGGTATAACTATTTGCTATTGTTCAGTATACACGCCTTCCCCAATGTAAACTTAATTAGGTATAGCATTCTTCTGTTTTGCTAAATAGTTATTAGAATTTCGTGTCTAATTCAAACCCTACTTTGGAAATGGCAGAAAGATGGTGAGGATGATGTGACAAGAAATTAGTAAGCAGTTGGAAACTAGTATCGAAAATATCTTGTTGTAGATGCCTTTACGAAACACACTGAAGATGTGTGTTAATCATTAGACACAGTAATCTGAACCCGATTTATGGTTGGAGTGCATAAACTAAGCATTAAAACAAATGCTTTAACAATGACACTAACATATCACCAGAATGATTCAAATAGGTACATTTCGATCAGTATAATAACAATAATATGGTAAGCAAAACCAAAAATGTCAGTCAATATTGTTTACACAATTACTACTTTATTTGTTTGACAAAAATTTTTTAAGTATTAAACAGTTACGATCAAATAACAGGAATCTCTTGGAGTTTTGTGCCACTTGATACTCGTAAGCAAGAGGTATTTACTGCACTCCAGCTCATATCACTTCATAATACAGTTGGAAACACAACTACTAGACGATTTAATACAAAGTTTGCAGATACGTCATGCTGACTAGTACTACCAAACAGATAACCAAGGTTTAGCTAATCGTCTGAATTCCTTCAAACAAGTTAAAGTCAATTAAAAGTACATCAGAATGAAGAATGTCCTGGCCAAGTGACTGACTAAATTACAAGAAAAGTTATAAGTTAGCTAGCAAACCGTTCGTGTTATTTCATGCAATCAGTAGCTATAATTCCATTCAACCCCTTATATGTAGAAATTGACTGTTGTGGTGACAGTCAGTTATAAAAATACCAGGAACTCTCATACAATACCATACTTCCATTTCATAAAGAATCCAACTTAAATCAGTTTACAGTCTGCGAAAACTATAAGGGGGGGGGGGAAATGTTCGAAGTCTAGTTTCTTATGATATGTTCCAGTCAGTAATTGTTCTTCGTCAGAACAAATATTCACTTAACAGATATACACCAAGAACATCTTTGGACTACATTTAATTCTATCAAGTTGGACAGGTAAAAGGCTTATTGATATGAGCTAATGATAGTCGAAAGAAGCTGTTAGACATTAAAAAGCAAGCCGAAAGGAAGAAATGGATATGAGGAGTGTCGACTGAAATAAAGTGAAAGTGAATTTTTTTCCCCTTCACTTTCCCCAGTGGAACATAGGGCTTCAAGCTTGTGGCTTGAAGTTTCTGTAGTAGTGTTTATTTTACAGGACGGGGGTGCTAGCCTCATGCCCAAACCTTCCTCTTTACCAGCATTATTTCTGGCTTAGCGAGGTAAAGGAGTGCGTCGGCCGGGGATTGAATCCCAGACCATGTGCATGATCCGCGAGCGTCCTAACCGCTATGCCACTGACGCAAGAAAGTAAATTATTCCATCTGAATTAGATAATCTGCAAAATAAGCAGACAGTAGATGGGATGAGAAAACATTTTAATAACTGACAGCCCATTAAGTCCGTAAAATGGGTTAAGTTCTCTTTTTAAGATAGAAGGGTAAACAGTAAACACATCTGTGTCAGTCTCGCTCAAATTCATATGCACAACATGTATTTACCTACTGGTGTGTTGTCCTATTCTAACAACTGCAGTTAATATACCTAGAATTCTTCAAGGTAATGGCTGTGGACATAAATACCCAGTGTTTCACATTACTTACATTACAAAACTTAGGAAGCAGTCTAAGTGACTGAAATAATCCTGCTTTTTAACAATTCACGCGTTCAGTGAATCAATTCACAAATATTTAATCATTCATATTTACTCACCTCTTCAGCACTGAAATTATCACCCATATTTTGTAGAAGATCTTTAATACTAAAAATGAAATTGTAAATATGAGCAAGTTAATAGACACTTACTATTCCTCTTCTAGGTATCGTTTGTTCCCTGGATCGAACATGGCAAAGGCATTGCGAAGTGCATCTTCAGGGTCAGTTCCTTAAATAAATTTTTTTAAAAACAACAATTTATTAGAAGACAATTCAACAGTTCCGAGTTTGGTTGAAATGAATGAAATAAGAATATTAAAGGTGATAGTATATTTACCGTTCAATTTTTCACCAAATAGATTTATAAACATTGTGAAATTTAATGGGCCAGGTGATTCATCTAACATTTCTTTCAATTCTTTATCAGTTGCAGTACGACCTAGAAGAGTCGGAAAAAATTATTCTCTCGAAAATTCAAAACAAGCTGCCTACCTAATGAGGCGTACATATCTTTCAAGTCTTCAATATCAATGAATCCATCACGATTTTGATCAATTAGTGTAAATGCCTAAAATAGTTGTTATATATATATTGCAGCTGTTGCACAACACATACCTCTTTAAATTCTTGTATTTGATTCTGTGGGAACATTCCAAATACATTTGAAGTAGCTCTTTGAGCTCTTTTCCCTCCACCACTACTACCGGTTGTAGTTTCTTTTTTATCTTCAACTGGTTCATCTTCTTTTTCTTTCTCTTTTTTCTCTTTCTTCTCTTTCTTTTCCTTCTTCTCTTTTTTCTAAAATATAAAGTATAAAACAAGATTAGATGTGTACAAATTCAGTATAATTAAATCTATGCCTTCACACATAACCTTACTTGATTAACTCTCTTGATTGTTTGTGAGTATGTGAATATCAATCTATGAACCATCTACCTATTCATAAACTCAGAATACAGTCACCAATGTCTGTAAGTCTTATTATAACAATATTACACATTTTATTTCTATAACTTACATTTTCCAGGGAAACATATGTAAACATTTACCCGGACATCTAATATCCGAGTTCATCAGGTGAAATTATTCCTGATTCTAAGTTAGGTTTCATTTCAAATCGACACTAATTAGGCAACCATTATAGAACCAGGAGCTTTGAATACTTATTCTATCCTATTTTACGATTGCATTCAAGATTGAACTGAGAATCAAGGCGGGCATATTGAACCTAGCCTAACTTAACAATGTATTGATTCGTTATGTCGCTCAAGCATCACTGGTTTCATCAACGAGTAACTTTGATCACACCTAAATTGATGATCTTTCCACTTAATTTAGCACGATCGTTAGGATAAACTACTGGAGAGTTTCAAAATACAACAAAACGGATGCTAAGGACTCTAACTGATATCATGACAAGATTTATTGTAAATTGAAGTAGTCTCTAAAACCTCAACTACCTAATTCCAGATAGTTAAATATAGGTTACTTTTCTACATATCAACCTTTTACGTATTTAATCCTTTAGTAATTTAATGTCTTTGAAAGGTTGCTACTTTACCGTGCATATTATGTTATCCTTCTTGCTCGATAATTTAGTCATTTAAATGGAAACGCATAAGCATTTAAAAGTGGAGCGAATATTTCACTTAACTCTTTATTACTGCTATAGTAATTTTCTTTGCATGATTAATCAGACTATTATGATTATTAAAGGTGAGGTAAGGTAGTTTCACTTATGAAAGTTCATTGTCCAATTCGCATTATCCCATTACCCTAAGGAATGTTATTTCTAAAAGATTCGCTGTGTAGTAAACTACAGCTTATGAAATTCCATTTATTTAGTTTCTCTATTAAGAAAAAAAAGTGTTAGATTATGTGTCATTTAACAGATAGTGACTAACGGTGGATACGCCTTTCATCCTATTTACTAACCTTCAGTTTCGCCAGGTCATGGCACATTCTAAGTCATGATTATTTGTGACACACGTGTCCGACAACTCAAATATTATCATACTGAGTGTAAACTAATAAAGAAGCTTCATCACTAACAGTCTTAGATAAAAGTACAGCAGCATGCAGAATCATATTCTAGAGTAATATTTCAAGCATTTTAAAACTTCATAACTTTATCTCTATTAGACATGGTGAGTAAAATTCCACGGAAAACGGTAGGTGTCGAGTTTAAGTCACAATGAGAACAACATTAATAACTGGAATGAGGAAACATACAGTTGATAAGTCTCGAGCAGGACAAAGCACAGTTCCACTGTTGGTCCTTGTCGAACAAGCAACACTATTTCAATAAACTGTTATGCATTTTGTTGTGCTACTAAATAGACAACTTAATTCATTTAATGAAACTCCTGTCATCCGTCATTCATCACTGCCTTTTCATCATTTTTCATTCTACATGAACTACCACGTATTTCTAGAACCAACAATTTTCAACTATCTCAAATATGAATAGCAGCTTGTCGAATAAAGTTCTTATTAAGAAGTAAATCTTTGATTTGAATAATATCACCTTTCATCTAACTAGACGCAATAAATGAATTGTATTTATTGGTCCTTGTGATACCAGTAGTTTCCTATACTATGACCTTATTTAATCGATTTACATTGCTTTGTTCAGTATAAAATACGAATTCGTTTCAGGATAACATTGTACAGACGAAACATTCGATAAAATAAACAGGACAGTTATACAAGTGTATCTGAAATAGGTTATAACTTGCATTCAACCTCTGATTTATGAAGTAGACTTGTTCGACTCGCTGAAATGTTACCCTCATGCTTTTTAATACGTAAAATATACTACTTTGAAGTATTTGGAACTTCATACAGAAGTGAGTGGGACTCTCAGTTGCTTCCAGGATTTACAATGAACTACACAGTAGGTGCCTACTAGTAATATATATGCATCGTTAAATTTAAAAATACTCCAGACAAATCTTGGTAGATTTATATTCTTCTAAGTTTAAATATAATTAAGAATACATAAATCAGCTAAGAGATGCTGTACAGTTATTTTAAGGGTATCCATGTACGATGTAAATTAACAGTAAGGGTCAAAGGTTATTGAAATGTGATAAAAAATAAGCAATTCGTTCACTTGTCTCCTTAAACTCACTAGATGCTAACAGAAGACTTTTCTTCAGGTTTACGAACACCTTAATACCGATGTGTATAGACTTCAGTTGTCTCAACTAACAACATCAGATCATATTTACTAACATAAATTTACAAAAATAGTAACAATGATTAACAAGGAATGGCAAAAAAGTTATCTTATAAAAAACAGACTTACTTCTTCTCCCATGTTGTTTTATCAGTGAACTACTACTCGGTAAGAACAGAAGAAGTTAACTAAAAGAAGTAAATATCTACTGAACTATTATTACTATTATTAAAGAAATATATACTAACCACTTAGAACGTGGGCGTTTGAAACGCAATCCATCAATGAAAAATGTGTATTCAACTGTTTTTAAAAATCAATAATATTTCACTTTCAAAGATAATGTCCAATAGGATTAATTTGCCTGTTTCAAGCAGTGTATAAGGTGTGTATGGGCACACACACACACACAAGCACAGTAACACAGATTACCTAAAGAGATTATGGGTGTGAATGCAACTGAAAAACAGTTTACCAGAGGATGTGTGCATTATAATGAAGCAGGAAATCCCATAACCTTTCTTTCACCTAAAATGAACACAAATCAATAATAAGGCAAACAAACATTCAGCATAAACTACCTTTCTTATTCGATTTATGCATTTATCTTTTCGTACGAAACCATTGGTCAGTAGGTTAGGGATACAATGTTCCCTGATAAATATTTTTCTCCTACAAAAAACACAAACAAACATGTATGGCAGGGCATACCAAAAATAGATAACGATTGTTAGCCTATATATCTCGGTAGTAGAATGGAGTGTTTGAAAAATCATTTGGCAAATAGTTTCTATTAATGTAGAAAAGCGAAAAAAATATTCAAGTATTGGTTTGTAGGGATTTGGTTGATTGGTTACAGGATTTCATCATGAGCTGACATTGGTTAGATAACCACTGGAAAACCTGGGAGTACTGGACAGCTGTTTCGTCCTAGTTTGGGACTCTTCGGCTGTACGCACCCACAGGGGTTCGAACCCAGGACCTTCTGGTTACAAGGTGAGCTCGCATACCATTAAGCCAGCAGGTAACCAGAAGGTCCTGAGTTCGAACCCCGGTGGGCGCGTACTGTGAAGAGTCCCAAACTAGGACGAAACAGCTGTCCAGTACTCCCAGGTTTTCCAATGGTTCTCTAACAAATGTCAGCTCATGATGAAATCCTGTAACCAAAAAATAATAGTTGATCAATTTAAATCCAAGGTAATTTGCCGCTAGTTCTATGTTTATGATGAGAAAACATAAACAGGGAGAAATGCGAAATTAGGAGAATAAGCGAAACATACAGATAGGCGACTTCCATGCCATTTTCACAACTGTAAAGAAGAAAGTAATGTGAACAGAAAATTCCCGGCTAACAACTAGTGATTTCAGTTTCATTCACAAGAAGATTGAAGTCTTTTGTGTAGCTGTTCAGCAGAGAGATATTTTAAGGCATCAACTCGGAGTGATTGTTGACGAAGTTTATCAAAAACAGAATACTTTGTGGTTTATAAGGTGGTATTAAAAACAGTGTTTGAATGTGTACGAAATATATTTAGTGGTAAAATCAACTTTTGCATCCAAGTGTGTTTTGTATGTAACAGGATTTCAAATTGTTCAACCTGAAATATGGATAAAATCTAAGTCAAAAGCTAAAAATAGCTACACTGTGACATTTTTGAAGAGTAGAAGCATATTATTGAGGTGTGGTGCACATCACTGTTGTATTATTTAGTTTAATGTCCCTATTGATAATCACAGCCACTATTATTCGGGGAAATAATGGGTGCAATAAATCCAGTAGTGAAAAGTTTAGTGTTGACACTGACGACTTCGTACTTACGAATAATAATAAGTTCATTTTAGATTAGATATACACCTCGATAAATGCTAACACAATGAGAAATTTAGATATAGAGGTTCGTATGACCATGCTTCTAACATATACAAAATCAGTGGTTACAGGGAAAACTTGAGGAACTTTCCTAAGAAACTAGTTGAATTCTAAAGAACTAGTGAAACTTGCCATATTTTTCCTGTTTGTTGAAGCAAATATAACAACTGGATTGATTTGCTGAGCAAGCGTTGCTAGTGCCACACTCAACCTTCTTCATTTCTTCCGGACCGTCTAGTAAACTAACCAACTTTTGGTTATAGGATTTCATCATGAGCTGACATTGGTACAGCCGAAGAGTTCCAAACTAGGACGAAACAGCTGTCCAGTACTTCCAGGTTTTCCAGTGGTTCTCTAACCGATGTCAGCTCATGATAAATTCCTGTAACCAATCAATCAAATCCCTACAAACCAATACTTGAATAACCTACTTTTGCCAGATACTGAAGATCAGATTGCTGGCCAGAAAGGATGAGTGACACGGAACTCTTGCAACAAATTAACCAGGAAATTACTGACTAATAGATATGCAGAAACAAATGCAGTTGGACTGGATATACAATGAGAAGATCACTGGGCGACATCACTCTGTAGGCTTTTAAGTGGGACGTAAATTGAAAAAGACTAGCTGGGCATCTGATGTTGACATTCGTGCAGACGCTAGGAGGAGGAAATGAAAGCTTACAGGAAACCATGGAGGCAGCTAAAAAACGCTTCAGAGAACAGAGTGAAATGGTAGTGTGTTACTGAAGCCTTGTTTTCCATAAGGAACACAAGGGAATAATATTAATGAGAAACAACATACATAATGTTTACCAACTACTGGTTACCATAACAATGAGGAAGTACTCTTAAAATACTCTAAGTTAATTAAAAAAAATCTAATGCAAAACAAAAACATTTTTCACTACACCTTATGAAATAACGTTTCCCAGATAAAATTAAAGCCGGAAGAATGAAGAGACCGTTGGCTGACTGACATCATCAACACTGCATATATATGTATGTCTGAGTAGAGATTTTTTAAATAACATGCAGTTTCTTTCATAATCGTAATCAGAATATCACTGTAAAATAAAATGTTACATTAAAGTACATCTATATTCAAATGAACTGTCGTCAAGATTTTACAGAATAGTTCTAAAATATTTGGGCGCCGAGTGAGAAGTAGACATTTGTAAAAAATTATATTTGTAAAGTCTCAGCGAGATTGAAATGAGTAATTCCAACGTTTCCTTCGGCAATCTGGTCCGAACTTCTTCAGGGAAATTAATCAAAATTAACATAACATAGGTTTATATATAAAAAGGAACATCACTTGTTTTTGAAAACTTGTTCAATCATGAGTCATTCAAAAAGTACACAAGTATAATAAACAAAATTTTATGAGCTGTGATCAAAATTTGACCTCGGACTTACAAATATCGGTCTACCTTTGTTAAACACTTTAAACAGAGTGTGATGTGTGTGTGTGGGTAAACAGTTGTAAAACATTTCTTAACGTTTCCAAAAGAAGATATGGACAGTCGAGAGTTTTGACCAAGTATTAATAATTAGTGATACATATCCATTTTTATTTATTAGTAAGGATTTCCTATGCATCAGCTAATATCACGCCTTCATGTCCGTTCAAACTGTTAGTATCTAGAATTTTATGATTGGACGTATTTCCAAAATTATGGTGTTTAGGATTAGCGTTTAGTAGAAGCACCCGGACTTATTGCTTTGCCTTCTTTCTGAAGATTGAGCTGCTTTATTCGACCTACTGGAGTTGTCAGGTAGACCAATATTTGTAAGTCCGAGGTCAAATTTTGATCACAGCTCATAAAATTTTGTTTATTATACTTGTTGAAACTTTTTGAATGACTCATGATTGGACAAATTTTCAAAAACAAGTGATGTTCCTTTTTATATATAAACCTATGTTATGTTAATTTTGATTAATTTCCCTGAAGAAGTTCGGACCAGATTGCCGAAGAAACGTTGGAATTACTCATTTCAATCTCGCTGAGACTTTACAAATATAATTTTTTACAAAAGTAACATCTATAACTTAAAGTCCCAACAACCAGCTTACTACAGGGTTTATTGCCATACAATATGGATGACTTTCACTGTGCAACTGTTAATTTATCGTTTCATATTCAGAGACTATTATAATGATGTCGATCTGTCATATGAGTCACCTTCGAGATATAATACAATATTGGGAAGAAAAGTGCTGAACGCAGGAAATTATCATTATGAGTAGAATCACAACTGTGGATATCTTTTTCTGATTGTTGTAAATCCATATTCTTATCCTTTATATTTTTCCCAACATTGGGTGTTTTCTTTCTGAAAGCCGTCGTCAGCTGATTGTTATTTCTCCTTGAACCCATCAATATCATTATGTATTACTAGTTATATACAGTCTTACAAGTAGCTATCAACACACCATGACTTCCATGATGATTGCTAATAGGTTTATGAAAAATACAAACTGGCAGCAGGAACATCCTGCAGAGATAATATTTCATCATTACAATGAGTAAGATTAACAGTGAAATAAAGATATTCTTTTTGATGTTTAATCTGAATCTTTAACTAATTATCTGGATAGCATTTATCATTTCTGATCCCATTTTAACTCGAGGCATTTATCCTAGTAGAAATAGTGAACAGTTCCTAGTGCTTCTCAGTAATATATATTTAATACTTATGTGGCGATGGGCTCCCCGTTGGGTCCCATTTTGGCAGATTCCTTTCGAAGTAAACTAGGAAATGGACCTTTGAACAACCTTATCAGAAAATTCTAATTTTATTGCCTGTATATGGACACCTTTATTCTTTGTTATGATAATGATTCGGATAGGAACACAATAATAACAGCTGTCCAGTACTCCCAGGTTTTCCAATGGTTCTCTAAACGATGTCAGTTCATGGTGAAATCCTGTAACTAATAATAACTCAATTCAATGAAGTACATTCTGCTATGACTTTACTAGTACTAATGAGAAAGTGGTCAACTTTTGTGCAAATTTAATGGAAATAAGTGGGTAGTCACTGAGAATTTAGAAATTTAACCTGATGTATATTTTTTCAGGGTTTTCACTTAGTTAGCAATGTCGTTTCTTTTCAAGTGTTGGTTTGTAGAAATCTGATTGATTTCAAGACTGATTACGGACTGACTTCATTTAGAGAACCACTGAAAACCAGGGAGCACTGGACAACTGTTTCGTCCTTGTTTGAGACTATGCAGTAGTACCCACCCACGACCCAAACAGGGATC